TATATATACACACACACATACATATTGGGCCAGGGTGAGCTGAGCTGTTGGCTGCGAATCTTACATATACAGCACCGATCCATCTGTATCAAACGAGGTGTCCATCTATCCTATAAGCCCTAAAAAACTAGAATCCCGAAGCGCCAATGCGATTTTGGGGCCTGCATAACACATGGAGCCTATCATGTGGCAGCCCGCATCCCCGGTCTCCACCCCCAGACTCGAAACCCTAACTTCGGAGCCCCAAATCCTACTAGTAAAACTCGCTTTGCAATCACAGAATCGTCTGAAAAACAACCCTGGTCGAACCCCTAGAACGCGGTTGTACAGAAAACTCAACAAGGCCTCTTAGAACCCTGTAAAACTGAAAAGGGACGGTGTACCAACCCACTAAACGCATTTTGGAAACATCTGAACAACCAACATCCTAAAGACTCGACCCCAAACTCTTAGCCCTACAGAAAATCCATATAGCTCTTCAAACCGCATACACCCTCAGATGCTTTCAACACAGCGCCTCCCAGGGTCATGCCCTCGTCTTGCGGGGCCATCTTCGGGTCCTCGTTTAGCCGTGCAGGGCTTCTTGGGGAGGTCGGGGTTTGGATTTGGGGTTCAAGATGTAAAGATTTAGGCTTCAATGGGTTTGGGGTTTAGGGAGATACCAAGAACTGCACCAAGTTGAAGCAAGCGTGGGATCTTCTATTTGTTTCGAGGCTTTTTGAAGGGTTCGGTTTGAAAGCATGTGGTAAAGGGTTGTGGGAGCTTATAGTGTTCTGCGGGGTGTGCAGGGGGCTTTATACGCAAAGTCTTGACTTGGTCTGAGGCCGGCCGACGATCAAACGCCTGCCAAGAACCCAGGGCTTGGTTACGGGTCTGCACGCGTGACTAGATCCCTCTTGTAGCCCTTATAACACTATGCGAGAAAAATGCAACTCCCCGAAATCCTGTTCGAATTGCTAAGGCCCTACTCAGGCCCCCATCGTCTAGAACCCTTATCATCGAACCCTTTCAAGGAAAACTCTTCGCCTCGGCCAAAGTGTCAGAGCTTCGGCCTTTGCCCTAATCCTTAGACGTCCTGAAGCCCTTATAAACTCTATACAATCGCTGATATACATCTATACGCCCTAAGTCCTCGCAACCTAGACCCTAGGACCTATAGAGCACTAAACCATAATTTTGCCTTTAAGGGCAGGCGGGGGAGGGGGTTGTCGGCTCCTCGCGAAAGTACTGCTGATCCCGCTTGCGGCCGACGTAGTAAATAAAGAGTCTCGAGATGTCGTCGATGGAGTCGCCACGTTTCAGAGCTTCCCCTGCGTTTGGTTAATGCGGGGGGGCCGTAATAATTACCCATACTATTTTGAGGAATTTCAATCCTTATTATAGTTTATTGTAGTATAGTATACCCCAAAACCCGATTCTAACTATTAAGGCCGCTACATTAGGGCTTAGGGGTTGGGGACGAAGGTTTCGGTTCTGGCGGCTCGCTAGAGGGGACTCGGAAGTTCAGGGATTCTTCTGGGCAAGAAGCTTCAAGACCAATCTCAAGTCTTCCCCCAAACCCTAAAATCTTATGAAAGCCGGAAGACCCTAAAGCCCTGTAAGCCCTAAAACCCTGAGCCCTAAATCCCTAAGCTACGACTCCGAAGTGCTCGTTGCGGTACTCGGAAGCCCTTGCAGATCCGTTACAGGAACACTTTAAGCTAAAGGAACATGTGAATCCCCCCTTTGCCAAGCCACGCTTGTTGATGTACTCGTACGCCCCAGCCACGGCATTTGCACAGCAGCTGTTGCTTTGCGACTGGTCTTCCACCTGCGCAGCTTGAACCCCACCACAGACAATACAATCCCTAAACCCTAAACCCTAAACCCTAAACCCTAAACCCTAAACCCTAAACCCTAAACCCTATCAAGCCACGAGGGCTTCGGGCTTAGGGTTTGGGGCTTAAGGAGTGGGCCTCGGGCCTAAGCCAGCGTTGACCATAGACCACACCCAGATCCCCAGAGACTCCAATACCCCTTAATTAAGGGATATACCTTAAATTATAGTAGGATCCCTAATAAGGTTTAAGGTATATTCCTTAATTAAGGGGTATTGGAGTCTCTGGGTCGCTTCCTTACCCGCGGCTGAGGCTGCACTCAAATCCCCCGCCGTCGTCATGAACTCGCGGAGGTCCACCTTCTCTTTGAGGCCACCCCTGCTGGGCGTGTATTCCGACACCTTCAGGGTTTGGGCTAAGGGTCCATGGGGTTTTATAAAAGGGGTGTGACACATGCACAATTTTCCGGCACCTTGAGCGGATCTGCTGGCTGTGACACCTGAGGGTCTTCCCATGAGGGTTGTCCACAGGGAGTTGGGGTTTGGTTGGGTCTAGGATCTATAGGTTTAGGATTGAGGAGTTTAGGGTTTGGGGTGGTGCGGTTTATGGCTTCGGAATTTAAGGGTAAGGGATGTAGGACCCAAAAGGGCCCAAAGAAACCCCAAAAGCTTCTGTAGTGACTATGCTGCTTGAGCCTAAAAGACTTGATAATGGAGTCCTTACAACCTTATCGAACCAAACCGCATTTTTACAAAATTAGAGTTATATGGTATGGTAGTTCAGAGGATTTAGGATTCACAAAAAAACCCTTTGAGCTGCAGAGGTACCATACCAAAGGGAGCATAGGTCTTGCCATCGGTATGCACCCTCTTGTTGCCCAGGCGACGGCCCCGGAGATCAGATCGCAAGGAAGCATTCACGGTACAGCAAACGTTACCCATGCCGTCGTTGAACGTGGGTCAAAGCTTGAACCAAAATACTTCGGGGACGAGACTTCGTGGGCCCAAAAGCCCCCAACCCTGAGCCCCGAGCGTGTGATGACAGAGTTTAGGGTTTTGGGGTTTAAGGTTTATAGGGTTTAGGGGGGAAAGCTTAGGGAGTTTAGCGGTTTAGGAGACTCACCAAGACCCCGGCCAAGTGCCAGCAGACTAACCCCCAGACCCGAAAACCCCGCAAGCCCTCTGTGTCCATAGGCCCCATTTGCAGAAATTGGGCATGTTCGTACTGCGCTCTTCGCCTCTCGACAAGCTGTAGGGGAAACATATTTTCCTGGAGTAATTCGGATCCGACTGCCAGAGTGCTATCTTCGGTTTAGGGTTTAGTGTTTAGGGCTGTCCCGGTCTGAAGCTCCCGATTTCTCGGGATCCTAGAGCCTTGTGGGAGTCAGATGTTTTGGGGTCTAGCTCGCCCAAGGTTCAGAGAGTTTCGGGCTGGCCCCTTGCGTACCTGTAGGGTCATACCCTAATTACCCCTTTTTTTGGGGTACATATAATTTTCAACAAGACAAATCCTAACCATAAAACAAGATACCCTAAAAAACAGGTAGGGTATGACCCTGTACCCATAGGCTCCATTGTAGTTTTTTTGGGGGGGAGTACCTTACAGGACTCTAAATAGCAGCCACAAAAAACGGAACTACAACGGAGCCTATGGGTAGGTATATTTCACTTACCCAGAAACTCCCAGTTGAAGTGAGCGCAGCTCAGCAGGTGCAGATGCCTTGAATACAGGAACCACTTTTACGCGCCCTGCATCACTGCGTAAGCACCTGTGACCTACATGAAGCCCTTTTTTCATAGGGACCCTGAGAGTGAGGTTGGGGGGGAGGGGGCTAGGGGGCCTTCATACCAGTAAATAAGGACCTAATAGGGCCAATTTAAGGAAGTATAGTCCCCTACACCACTCCCCGCTACCAAATAATACAGAACCCTAGGAACCCTAAGGCCCTGAATGATTGCTCATACATGCTGTTCTGTAAGGTTCCTCCGGCCTGAACACAAGTGTGTATATACATACATATA